TTGCATTTAGCTTTGTGAAAATTCATTTTGATTGAATCACACAATTGAGACAGTTCTATATGTCTGTCCTGTCCTCATGGGTATTTATCCCTCAGTCAACATTCGTGTTATCCACAAATTTTATCATCCATGCTTTCATATCTTCTTATAGATCGTTAATGCAAACATTGAATTACATCAATTCCTTCACAATCCCACCAGACATACCCCCCCTGTCTGGGTTTTTTTTAATGACTTCCCTTTGACCATTGGTTTTTGAGATCTGCCAGTCAGCTCTTTCTTAAGCCAAATAACACAGGCCCTATTGATTTTGGATAGAGATAATTTTTAATCAGCACACTGTGAGATATTAAATATAATGCCTTACTAAAGGCTAAGTATATTGTATCCAGGCAGTTATCATTATATCAGCCAAACTTGTAATCTCATCAAAGAATGAAATCAGATTTGTTTGACAAGAACTAGTTTCCATAAAACTACATTTATCAGTGTTAATTATGTAGCAATCCCTTAATTCTTTACCCAATGATCCTGTATCAACTTTTTCATTATTTTCTGAGACCGAGAACAAGGCAACTGGCTTAAAGTTATCTGGGCCATCCTGGTTTCTGATTATTGACACAGAATTACCACTCTAGGGCCATCTCCAGATGAGCATGGACATTTGGTTCCCTGGGGACAAGTAGCAGTGGTGCACCTTGTGCCACTGCTACTTGTCCCTGGGGAATGCCTGTGCCACATCCACTTTGGTGCACAACCAGTTACCCTAGGTAGGGTAGGAGTGACTGAGACCAGCACTGGGCTGCCCCAGCATCCTTACCTGGGGCCCTGGGAGCCTCCTGGGGCTGTAGCAGTCTCTAGGTGGCCCAGCTCCACTTTTGAGCTGCATGCACTGCCTATGCATGCGCTGCTTCACCTTTTTTCCCCCTGGGTTTTTTTGACCCCTGAATATCCAGGGGTCAAAAAAACCCATGGGAAAAAACAGCAGAGCAGTGCACACTTGGGCAGCGCTCCCTTGCAATGTGGAGAACATCTGGATGTGCAGTACGTGGCGCCGCAGACATGTTTGATGTGCCATGTACTACACAACCCCACTCATCTGGATGCAGCCTAGCAGTTTTTAATTTTTTTTTAATTTCTTCAGTCTTACTAGATGTATTAAAAATTGACTTTACAGGTCAGAGGTCCTCGCAGCTAACACTTACAGGATGACTGGGTTCAAGCTGTCCAAGCCTGATGATTTCAAAATGTGTATCCCTAGTACATATTGTCTAACATCCTTTTCAGTTACTAATGGAGTGGAAAGTATTTCATCATTCTCCTCTGTCACTATTACCTCATCCTGCTTCTTTCAAATTACAGGAAAGACATATTTATTGAGCCCTTCTGTCTTTTGGCTAACAGTAATAATTGAACTGTTTCCATCTACTACTATGCTGATGCCATTTCTCCTATCTCTTTTGCTCCTGAGAGACTTAAAACCCACCCCCTCCTATTTTCATTAGTTCTTCCAGCCATGGATTTTTCCTTGCTGCCTATAGCATCCTTATCAATTTTCTTCACATAATTACTTCAAATTTAGATCAATTGCTATCTGTTCCTCCCCTTTCCCATTTGTTATACATTGCTTTTTTATTTCTAATTGCTGCCTTCACTTTGCCACTGAACCAGAATAGGCTTTTAGCCAGACTCTCTCTTGTTGAGGATTTTTCACTGCTTTATAAAATAGTTAATTATTTCTTGGTGCAGAGACTAGAACCCAGGTCTACCAAGTGAATGTACTAATCATCAGGCTATAGCGTCAGTCATGTTCTCTCTAGCCCACGTATTTTTCTCCAGTTAAAAAGAAACTAGAAGATTAACTAATATGACAGGGGCCTGGCATTATATTATTCCGTTTAAGATCCAAACAAAGCTAAATACAGCTTTATTGGAATGTGCACTAATTTGCTAAATTATATATTAGGTTAAAAAACCCACAACAAACTAGGCAAAAAATGTTGTTTCATTAGTCCTCTAGTCATAATAATTAAATGTGCATGTCTTATTCAGATTTGTAATACGAAATCTAGCCTTCTCAAGCATCCAGGACTTCACTGTTATTCATTTCCACACCTGAGTTAATGTTTACCTGAGTTAAAATTACTACACCTGACTTAAGGTTTTTAGCTAAACTAAAAACAGTCTGCAAGGTGGTGAAATAGAAAAGAGATATTCTCATGATTCACCAATAGACAGCAAAACTCCAGAAGAAAAGATAGCTTGATTAACAGAACATCAAGACCGTTGAAAAGAAGAGCCATTAACATCTATGGAGTGAAGAGCAATTAGCAGGAATCGGGTAGAATATAATGAGCCATGAAGTTAATTGACACCCCCCCCCCAGCACGGCCTGCACAGAAGTGCTTCTGGTTTTCCCAGGCTGTTGGTTTTAAAGTTTGGGTGGAGCAGGAATCAAAGGTGCAGGGGTGGTGGGGCAGTGTCACTTCAACACTGCACCCCTGTGGATCCACCCCTGGCTGTGCCAAGCTATAGCAGCCCAACTCGCTGCAGTAAGGCCCAACTGCTGTAGCCGTACCCTTCACTCTGAGGGGGAGTAATGAAGAGCTGGGTACACTGGCTTCACATCCCCAAAGGACTCCTCTACACCTGGGGCTTTCTGAGGCAACATAGCTTGGTCTTCTGGCTCTTTTACAACGTGGAAGGAAAGGCTCTGGTCCGATTACTTGAACTATGGATAAAATTAGATGGGAGATGAATTGTACTCCCTGCAGCTTCAAGAAAATATGTGTGCAATCTGTGTGTGTGTGTGTGTGTGTGTGTATAATAGGTTAGAAACACTGATCCCCTGGAGATCGTTTCCTCTTTACCAGCACCTGTACTCCTGCCAAAGGTGATGAGACATTGAATTACTCGTATCTGTGACTTGAGGCCAGCATTTATCCGAACACCCGACAGTTCCAAGAATTTCCCAAGTATTCCACTTGTGGATGGGCATCCGTTCCCCCCTCACCGTATGCCGGAAGAATGCCTGCCTGTGGAGGAATATCAGTTTTGTGTGGGTTACAATGGAGAGTTGCACAGTGTGAATTTTCCATGTAACTAGCACTAAAAACAGCCTTAGGCAGCCCATAAGTCTTTTCCAAACAGAGCTCTTATTTAATTTAGTTTGTTGTGGAAAAGCGTAGGCATCTCTTAGACATATTTTCCATTCAGATGCATTATGTTTTATAAAGAAATATATCTGCTAAGCAGAGTAGGGGAATAATCAGTATTCTATATTTTTGAGCGTATTTTCAGTTAAATAAATAGAAGCCCTAGTGACAAATAAATAACTGTGTCTTCTGTACGCCAGAAAGTTACGAGTCTTCACAAGGAAAGTACAGCATACTCCTTTATCCATTATTAGCTATCTTAAATGGTTCAGTGATAAGTCAAGCTGGCACATAATTCATCTTTTCTAATTCTTCTAGCTCAGACAGCTAAAAGAAACGGAGCACTGCAGAGAAAGGGAAAAAGCTGGGCCCAGCTACTGAAGGCATGTTTCTGCTTGGTGAGAAATTAAAAGCGAAGTTCTCCAGACTGCAATCGGGGTCTTTTATCAGAAGCAGAGATCTTGATTGCTTGCTCAATGTTCTCTCCATGCTTGAGACTGCAGATGACATCCGTGGGAAGCCTATATATGGAGCAAGCAAGGGATGCGTGATAGGGATTGAGGTCAAGGTCAGAGTCGGGGACAAAGAAGAACCTTTGCTTAAGGGCCAATGAACTCAGTATGGCTTTATAGAGCCTCACTCTGGAATGAGAGGAGGCATGTGGGGGGCACTTCTCACATCTCCAGGCCCACACAAGGCCGTGCCCAGCATATTCGTTTAAGGTATGTTGTTCCCGTGTGATCTACCTAAATAGAAGATTCTTTTGCTGTAATTTACTCTGCTGTGGATCACGACTGACATGGATCAATCAGGTATTGATCTTTCTACAGCACTGTCAAAAGTTCATCAAGCCTAGCAGGCCACTGAGCTAACATGGCTAACACAAGGGGACGATATGGCCAGTTGCACATCCAGCTGCCTCTGACTCCCCAGCCTGAATGACCAGGTGCCCATTTATTGCTGGATCAATCGCATGCAGCGTAGAGCTTGAACTCACACCTCTAGGGAGATAACTTAACTGTCCTGCCACTGCATGCTTATAAAACATTATGTCTGTGTTTTATGCAATGGTTTTATTCATCCTAGCAAATATCAAAGACTAGGCTGTAGAATGCTTGTATGCAGCTATTAAAGGCCACTGCAAACCTCTGAATCTCTCATAATCACTATTCAACCACTCATAAGCTAGTCCCAAATTAAAGTGAGAAAAATCAGATCTTATTTTACTGACAGTTATTTTGATTACATATGTCACCCAACATTGTTTCTTCAGCTTCCTGGGGCTCAGCCCACATGTAGGCAGCTCAGCTTCTATAAGGAAATGTTCCTTCTTTAAGGTGAGATAAGGAATAATTGGCTGAGGAAGAAGCGGGAGGTAAAGATTGCTCAAGATATGCACAGTTGCTCTTATTTCCAGCTGGCTTTTATATGTTCCCCAGAGGGCCTGATCCAAGTGCTAGCCAAGCCATTGGAAAGACCTCCATTGACTCCAGTAGAGTTGGATCATCGCACTTATTAGCTAGTGTAACCAAGAAGTAAATTAAGACCATTAGCCTTGTAGGGTTGCATGTGGTTCAGTGATCTATAGTATTTGCTTCCACAGTCCCCTTTTTGTTACGTTACTTGCTTTCACCAGTTCTTTTTTCACAGCCCTTTGGAGATTTATATAATACACCACTGAATGTTACAGTATCCCAGGCTACTTGCCACTTGGAGTCTCAAACATTGCAATATACTTTGCTGCTTTGGCCGAGTTCCCTGGGAAAGCTCCAAGTCCAACACAAGCTGATAATGTCTGATGACATTTTGTGGCACCACTTCAGTCTTGAAAAGGACTGCCAGGGCTTTTCTGTGTCTCAAGTGCAGCCTCCTAATTGTGACTCGATGTTTAAATTCATTGGCAGAAGAAGTCTGCTCACTGATTTTATTTTTCTTGAACTGAAGAAGACAGCAGAATGGAGTGACAGAGAGAAACTTTCTTTTAACCCATTATAGGAGAAGAATTTTGGAAGACCAGTGTTTAGCTTTGGGCTGCTGTTTATTCACAAGGGACCAATTTCAGCCCTCAGTTACACAGAAAGGAAGAACACGGAGCATGATATCTGTAAATATTTTGTTTTGTGCATCTTGAGCCTAGCTGAAAAGGTAACGGAGTAGAATAGATGCAAACCTTAAAGCTAGAGGTGTTCTCAGCCACTTTGTGCAGGAAGTTCAGGAAAGATAGACATTTCAGAGTATTTCCGTTCTTTTGTTGTGCAATCTTCTTCTGTCTTAGGATAATCTACTTAGATACAAGAAATGTGACTTGAAATATGTCAGCTGAACCATTGTGCTTGCAAATGCTCATGTTGGTGGAGTCCTCGTTGTGCGGTTGGTGTAGTTGTTTGTGCCTGAATGCTCTGTGGTAGTGTAGTTTGTGCCCCTGCTGTTACTGTAGTTAGATCTCCCTGAAGATCTTGATGACAGACTTGGTTTGATGATGAAGGATCAGTCAGGTTTTACCTTTCCCTCTAGCTCTAGTTGGCAAGGGCTAGGGGAGTTTTGTCCTCTGTAGTGTTGTGTTCTTTTCCCAGAAGCTTCTGAGCACATATGCTCATCCAATAAGCTGCAGCCCCTCTCTGCAATGTGCAAGATATCTTGAAACTACTGGATCTGAACTTATGTGGAGTCACTGGACCTATCCTTGTTACCTCTATAAACCCAATCTAATTGCCAATTTGCAGTCTCCATCCTGACCTACAGAAAGCTGAAGATTCTTAGCATTTATGGATCAACTAGGATGGATTTTTAAGTTATTTGAAGGATTCTAGTAAATTCACTTGAGTACCGACATGATAGATGCTGTAATGTTCCCTGGACTGAATTAACTGAAGTATTGAGCTGCAGTCAGAGATGCATTTACAGCATGTGAAGGCATACCCAAACTAGTTTTCACCTAGCTAGTTCAGGTATCAGCATCAGAAAAATGCAGTGGCATAAGGTTTGGCATGAGGTGTTCAAGCCCATCTAGTTCCTCCTGGTTACTCATTCGAGCATGTCACCTGTGAAGTTTGGACTGGCCAGTGCATTTGTTGCTGTTCGTACCCAACCTAGCTGGATTGAAATGATCAAAACTTATGGCATCTGTGCTGCATTGACATCTCTGACTTCAGCGTGGGTGTACCCTGGGTGTTTCTTTCTTGTTTTGTCTTGTTCCACTTGGTTCATTGCAACATGAAACTAAGAGGGCAGATCTGCTCTGGAGTGGGTTGTAACTAAACTTAGCTGTACTACAGTATACATTCAACCCTGGAAGTTGCAAAAATCTAGAACTCTTGGTTCCAAAATGATACCTTTTATTAGACCAACTGAGAAATAAAAAAACAATAACCCTCTTTCTGCAAGCTTTTGGGCTCAGAAAGATATTTTTTTTGGAATTTCTCGGATGGTCTAATAAAAGGTATCATTTTGGAACCAAAAGTTTTAGATTTTTGCATTTCTTTCTGTCTCAGACCAACACAGGTACCACATACACGGGCAACTGGTGCCACCTTAGTCCGGGGGGGGGGCACATGCCCCCCCAGCAACCAGTCAGCGACCGGGGGAGGGGTCCCCCCTCGTCTGATCGTGCTGGCTGGGAAGCAGCTGTGGTGCTCTCGGAAGGGCCACAGCACTCCCAGAAGTGGCTGTGGTGCTCCCACTTCCCGGCTGGTGCTTGCAGGGGAGGCATCAGCGCTCCCACTGCCCCCGCTGCCTGTCGCCTAAACAGAGAGCATAGCCTGTCAGGGGGTGCACGTGCACCCCCTATGTATCACCACGGACCACATACATCCCTGAAACCCTGGAAGTTGTGAACTTAACCTTATCAGCTAAAACGGTGGCAGTACTGCAGCTGTGCTTGATTTTCATAGGTAACTTATCAGGATTCTGCACTTCTCATTGCTTGTTTCCATTATTTGGAAACATGACTTTCCATGACAATGTGATCCACAGCGTGTATACAAATCCCATGGAAAGAATGGGACCTCACAGTGTGTGTGTCCATGCATGTGTTTGAGGCCACATATAAAAAAAAAATCAGGTTTCAACATGTCATCAAGTACTGAGTTTCCTAAGAGTAGCAAGCAGTCTATAAATACTTTGAGCTCTACCTAAACAAATCTCTGATACAGATTCATGCAGTATTTTTGCATCTACTTAGGGGCATGGCATGCTTGGTGCAAAGGTAATAAACTCTTGGTTTCTAGGGGCATTTACATTGTATGTTTATTTATAAAAAGAGGTGGCAATATTTTATTATTATAATAATAATGGCAATTAGCACTATACCCCTTTCCAAAGGACATAGCCTGCCAGGTCATGGAATGTACTGAATGCATTGGAAGTGGTGCAGTTATACTGTGCTGTGGAGGGACAGGGGAGGCTGGAGGTTGAAATACACTTCCTAGGAATGGCAGAAAGACATTATGCTATGGCTCCTTGTGCTCATGCTGTAGTATGAAGGAGCATTTTGTGATTGGCCAAGGAAGGTGTGGGGACTGTGTGTCACTCCATAACTGAGTAAATCTATAGCATCTTTCTTACGGGTGATGGGAAGGGACAGCAGCTGTGGGATAGCATGGACTGTTATAGTAGCTAGGAACACCTCTACTAGCATTTGGATGTGTAAAATGCTGTCTCCATGACAACTGGGTGGAAATACAATACAGAGTTCAGCTACGTCATTTATTGCCCAGAGGAGAGAATATAGGCTTAAATGACATTGTAAAGTGAGAATGTATTTTATTTTAATTTGATCAGGTATTTGATTACTTGTTTTCAAGGCTTTTTGCCGGGTGACTATATACCAAAGTTCTTTGCATTGCAGCCCGACCAGACCCATAACGGTAAACTTGCTCAAATATCACGTATACATGCAGAAAAGTGAAAAACCTAATTAGTGTCACCTGAGATGAAAGCTCTGCAATCATGACTGCAATCTCAAAACAATTAATCATCCACCTACAGTAAGTCACTGGGTTCATTTTTCAATTTCTTCTCTAATCTCTTTTGCAGCTTGAAGGTAACTAGTGGAGCAAACAAGATGATGTAGTCAGAGAGATCCCAACTAAATACAGACAACTGGTTAATCATAGTGGGAGTGAGAGCAACTAATATAGTTTCCTGCCAGTCCCTTGTTATCATCACTCATAACTTTCTGAAATGTTCACCTCCCAGGCTAATATTTTTCAGGCTTAGAAAAGACTATTTTTGGCAGGCTTGAACTAAACTAGTTCAGCTGTTTTTGAGACTATTGTGGATAGTGGTAAAATAAACACTAGACCTGTTGCATATACATACAATGTCTTTCCATGGTATTTGGGAGTAGCTCTTGCACTGAAATGTCTTTGTGTTGAAGATGCACCATATCTGGGATGGAACTAGGCCACCAAGCAGGGCAAATATCCCTAGCAATTATGATAAAATTGGTCTAGATCTGAGCAGGTTTGGGATTCATGGGTGTGTACAGACATTCACCACATCTGGTCTATGAGCATGCAGCTTGCTTTAAGCCACGTGATCACAGTACTGGGAATGACATGTACAGGTGTTTACCAGTGCTGAAAGCTAGATGGGGAACCCAGTGTAAGAAACTCCGGGTGGGATCGAGGTGCTCACAGGTCCATAGGGGGCTAGGCATGAGGTAGGGGGCTGTCAGGTCTGTGGGAAGGGCTGGTGGGTCCATGTGGTGGGGTTGCCTGTCTATGGGTGGGGGGACCAGAAGACTGAAACCAGACTGGTCAGGGCTGGGGGGTAAGAAGAGTATCGCCCCCAGGCTGGAGCGAGCTGCTGGGCTTTCATAGCTGTGCTCCAAACAGGTCCAGATGCTCACTAGATTGAGTTAACCTGTTCCCAGTCCAAGTTAGGTCACCTTTGCAGGTGTACAGAGGGGCATTTGGATCAATCTAACCCAAGTTAGGCCGATCTAAATGTAACTTCTGTACATAACCTATGAATATTCCTCTGTATCCTGGTGTGGTGTATATTGAATGCTTCTCTCGGCTGATAAAGTGCTCAGCTAGAGGCTGCTGCTGGGCTGTCCTTTCGTGCTTTGTGAACTTAATTGCACAGTGAAAAATGTAATGAAGGAGCACAGGTCTCCCACATCTTGCTCTCATAGCACAGGGTTGGCTGCATCCTTGATGTAAGGTGTAGCGGTGCTGTTCAAGTGAATAGAGCTTGCCTGCTTTGCAGCAATGGTGGAACTGAACTTTCAGTCTTTGGCACTGACTTTTTCTGGGCAATGTCACACTAGTTTTTCTAGAGTGCAATAGTAAATGTGGTTACTGTAAAGAACAAGAGAAACCGCATCTCAAAGTCAATGATTTTTATATGCTCCCGAAGTCAGCCAGAGGAAAATGTTATCAGTTTAATCTTATGTGTGAAAATGCTTGCACCATTTTACAAGTTACTAAAGTGCCCGACCTACATTTCCATGGAGACAGAGACAAGTGTGAACTAAATGAAGAGACATCGATACAAGCAAACATAAATATTTATAACAAACCGAAGTGGAGTCTCTATTATCACTCACTAGGTTGGGGACACGTGGCTATCATCAGAAAGGACGGCAAGCAAAGGGAACAATGAGTCCAATATTAGGCTCAGCAGCTGCGGGGTCCACCCACTGAAGTCTATTCGACAGTGCAGCAGAATTTGGCCCAAGAGGTTTAAATCAAATAAAAACATACAAAAAGGTTAAATTTGGGGGAGTGCTCTAACATCTGTGCTAGACACGGCATTCTTTCCTTATATTTGTCTCTGAGATTGGACCAAAATCTTTGTTAAAACCAAACCCTGTGCTTGCTTATGGGGACTTTTGCCTGAACGAAACCTGAACAGTCAGACACCCTGTGCAATATATGATATCAGATTTCCATTTGGGTCATCAAATTATAACCTTCCTTGATAAAAAGGATTTGGCAGCCTTGTGATAAATACAAGATTCTGGATAGCAACACTCCTGATAAGTGAATTCTGACCCTGTCTTAATGCATTAATATCCTTGCAGTATAAATGATTTTTCCCCCTCTTTCCAGGGCCCCATTGAAATTTCTCACTGAGACATAAATCATTACCATATAAATGTCAGTTTTCTTAGGAAACAGATCCTCCGGGATTGTTAATTAGAATATCTTCATGAACATCTGAACCAAGCTGTAGGATGTTATGGAGTCTTGGGGATAATGATAAAATGGGCTGCTCATGTTTCTACGTAAAGATCAATGCTTGAAATATTTGGCAAAAGAATATTTCAATATGTGCTGTTCAACTGCATAAAAGTTTCTACAAAAAATGACAAAGTCAAGGAATTAAAAATACATAATTCCTGAGAAGAAGGAGGGCAAAGCGTGCAATGAGAAATTATATGGTTAGAATGCCCTAATTTGTTATCATGGCAATTTTCAGATTGCAATGTCAAAGCCCTTTATGTTTATGAACGTTCTTTGCGCTAACCTTATAACTGAGCGCCAAGGTGAATCTATCAAGCTAATTTTAGGTTTGGCTTGAGAATTGGACTTTTTCAAACCTTCTAATGATTTTGTCCATACATTAATAAATCTGCAATAAAATCCAGCATGAAAAAGACAAATAATATTTCCTCCACCGTACGAAGAGAAAATCAAATGAAGGGCAAAAATTCCCTTTCCCTCCTGTGAACCGCAGCTCCCAAAGCCAGATTTTTGGTGAGCATAAACCAGAATATCTCTACTGGAGCCAAAGCTCAGACAGTTTTCACCACTGACAAACTAGCCCAGCCAGGAGGCACGTGCACTCGGTTGATGTGCAGGAATCCCTCAGATCTCCATGCGAGTCCCACGTGCGGGACAAGAACAGAATTTGCAGTGGAGATTAGCAGTGTGGATCAAATCATCATTTTTTCCCACTAAGTCTGCCTTCTTCCTGTGAACCTGGAACATGCACGGGATTGTGGGGAATGGAATTCGTGTCTCCACCACGCAGGCAGACCAAGCTGTGAGGCTGCTATGAGTTGCAGAGCTCTTCCTTAATTACTACAGAAATAGCAAGGCTAACTAATACTTAGCACTCCTATGGGCCCTGATCCTGCAGTCTATGGGTGCTTGTAGATGTGCTGGGAGTTTGCTATGATGTGCTGCAATTATAGCACGTAAGAGCAGACTCAATTAATTGTTTGCTGGAGCGTGGTAATTACCATGCTTCGGCAGCCTTCTGCGTCACATGTATCAGTGTCCCCGCACTTCAAAAGGGTGGAGAGGTGCTACTACAGTGCATCAAATGAACTTTAGTTCAAGCACCCCCGCCACTGCTTTGAAGCACGGGGACACTGATACACAAGACCCTGCGGCGCTTTAATTAGAGCACCTTTCAGAACCACCCTAATTAAAGCACCCCTCCCAACGCCCAGAGTATGTCTGAAAGTGCCCTATGGGCCTGATCTATAGGTCATGATCTATGTGTCTATAGATCATGGCCTATAGATCCCTGTTTAACTATAAAGCCTGATTCAGTAAGGGTTCCAGCATCCTCAACTCCCATTAGCTTTGTCAGTGGCTGAAGATAGGTGCTGTCTGGCAGGGGCCCAGAACACCTCTTATAACCCTAGATTAAGTGCAAAACAGTGTTTGCTTGATTTTTGTAGAAAACTGGAGGCTTCTCTCAGGAGATGAATCTAAGACACAGAATACAGTTTGGGCACTGCTTATTGCAGCTTCAAGGAAACCATAAACTTATTAAGTCCACAGGAACTTACTACTGTGCAACTTATTTATCTCTCTGAAGTATCATCCTCTCTCCCTCCCCCACCTACCAAAGAATAGTGTGGCACTTAAAAGTGGATATTGGTGTCCAGTCTATCGGTGAATTATCCCTATGGGAGTTTTACATGATGACTAACATTACCAGAGTCTGCTCTTCATTTTCTTGTAGGGTAGTAATGAAAATAGCATTGTACAAACCTAGTGCTAACACAATTCAGACAGACACAAGGAAGCCTGGCTAAACATTAAAAATGATGGAAAGCAGTCAAGAATTGTTCAGGTTAGAAAACCAAGGTTCCTTCACTGCCAGTTATCACAAATACTTAGCATTTGCTTTTCTCCCACACACTGTCATACGTTTGGCTTGAATACTTAGTGTCTGTTTCTTCCATTGAGTCTAGGCACTTGAAGACAGCAGGGTTCTTCTTATAGCTATTGCTTAAGAAACTTCTTGCAAACTTCATCTTCCCTTAAGACTGACAAAGCTATTAACAATGTGACAAATAACAAAGGGCTGGAAGGTCATAGCAATTCTAAGTGAACATGTTTTGGAAAATGTGCCTATGGACCTTTGCTTCCTGTGGGTGGTTCCAGAAGCTGGAGAGTTATATCTATTGCATTTTTGGTGATGGGTGGAAATTTAGGAATCTTTTTTTTTTCCAGACTCTCACTTCCTGAATAGAGTGTTGATCCTCCCCAAAGATACGGTTGATAGCCTATTTCCTGAGTGAAGCGAGCAAGGAGTGCATTTTCAATATGAAGTGTTTCCAACATCCTCAGATATTAAATACACAGCTGGATTGATTCCCAGGTCCATTATCCTGTTTTTTTGGCTTGGAGGGATGTGGCAAGACTCCAGCAAGGAGGTGGAGCGCCCTGTAAAAATGCAAAGCTTTCAAGGCATCCAGTTAGCTTCGACTCTGGAGGAAATGTTAGGGGAGTCAGCTGAAAGATGGGATGGCTGGAAGCAACAGCAAGAGGAAAAGCCAGGTGTTTTTCAAGATCTTTCTCAGGATATTTGCCCAATGTCAAAATAGACCTTCAAATGCGGGGCACATGGATTAAAAGAATTTGGACAAAGCTGTATCCCATTTTTCCCACTCCAAATTCTCTGGATCACTTTGCTTCGTTTTCTACATTTTGGCCATGCCGCCAATTCAGTCAAATGCTTGAACACTACATTTTGGCCATGCCGCCAATTCAGTCAACTCCTTGAACCCCTCCCTGCCAGACTGTCTAAATGATGAAAGTCCCTTGTAATTTGAAAGTAAATGTGAAAACTCCCAAATACCAGTCTAGACCCTGAGCCTGTCCCAAGCTCCACACAGATGAGTTCATGTGCCAATTCTCACTGAAATCACTATGGCCCTGTGCAAAAAAAAAAAAAGTCTTCTCCTGTGGTGCTCCTTGTGCAAGATTGGGACCTACCTTAATCTAGAAAGTATTGGATGCATCAGGATATAATTTGTTTTTTGTGACAGTTCCTCCCAAATGTTGCTGGTTGGAAATTTTTTGGCAAAATTGTTATTTTTTTTTAACTCGGAAAATGCAGTTTCTGCCAAAAAATGTGGTTTTGCTTAATCACGTTTTCTTCTTTCCATTGGGAAAACAGAACATTTTACTTTTAGAGTTAGTTCAACATTGATATCTATCTCTACGTGAGCTCCTGAGGTGCCTCATGGGTACTCACTCCCCATTCTCCTGTATGAATGACATCTCTCGTGACACACCAAGTCCTCTCCTTTGGCTGAATCCCGGAAGTCACATAAGGAGGACGTATCATCATCAGAAGTTTGGAATACTGAACTTTCCTGGAGGACTTGAACTCCAAATTTGACCAGCCTTACTCCAAACCAAGCAGGCTCCAATATCTATTACAGAGTCATTTGGGGATTACTTTTGGAGGCTCTCCATTCAATGAGAGTGAAACGATGCTGCCATACTTCTGAGATGTCTAGAACTTATGGTCAATCAAAAATCACGTGAATATCAAAATGTTCTCATGAGGTTTTCAACTGAAATATTGCTTTCAAATTATTCTTTAATTTTTGTGCTAAAATTCCTTCACCCGAAACACACGCGTCCTTTCTGGCGAATAGTAAAATGGGAATGCGGCTACGTCACCTGACTGTTTTGTGGTTAAGTAGCTTTGCTGACAATTAGTAAGAAGAAACAGATGACTATTTTTGGCTACTTCATACTAATGGAAATTTTCCTACCTTGAGTGTCTAATAGGTATCTCATTGCACTGTCATTAATCGTTTCGAGAGGATTTGTTTTTCTTAACTCCTCTCAATAAAAAAACCCCAATTTTGCACCACTTGATGCTACTGACATTTTTGCCTAATTAGGCAATACGAAGTCAGGCCCAGGATGTTAAAGTTAGTTTTATTTCAGAAAGACAGCATTCATTCACTATGCCAAAATGCACATCTGGCTAACAGGCTAGGACACTTGAGGGGAAAAGGCATTTTCCAGTTCAATTTATAATATACAAAAATGATTTTTTTTTTCTTGGAGAAAGTATTTGCCATTTCTAAAAATAAATTGTAGGAAGAAAAAAAAATAAAACAGGGAAACCTTGATTTATTTTTTTCTCATGGAAACCATAATCCTACATGATGAAAACATAGTAATGAATTGAGCTCAGGAGGATTTCTGATGATGGGATAACTCTAGAATCTTTGTTCTGAATATAAATTGATACATTAAAATGTGCTTGTAACAACTGCAGCTTTAGTGCACGTAGCCAAGAATAAGAAAGCCAAGTTCATAAAATGACACCTAGTATGAAATCTATCCAAAAACATTGTACTATATACACTAAAAAAAAAAAGTCAATTTGCTTTTGAAATGGTTGGATAGCAAATAGAGACCAAACCACAAGCTTATGCTTCAGAACTGAACTTTTATCACCATTTCCAATGTTGTGTTGACTTATTCCAGGCTTTTAAAAGCCCAATGAAATAAAAATTAAATTTGCAGTGCCCTGATTTTCCTTCTCAGGAAGAGCATGGGAATACATTTTCCTGTGGTAAGTGGAGAATTAAGTGTACGCCTCCAAGTTGGTTGAAAGTTTGTTCTAAGAATAGGTTGTGGGTGAAATTCCAGTCCAGCGGAAAGCAAGGGCAGTGTTCCCATTGACATCAACAGAGCCAGAATTTTACACTATATTCACTTTATAGCACATTGATATGGTGATACAAAAGTCCTGTCTTCACTTATGCCAGTATGAATCCAGAGTAATTTCACCAGTTTTAGCAAAGACATTTCAGAATTACATTAGTGCTACTGAGAGCAGAATTTGGCATTGCTTGATTCCACACATCCCTGCATTGTTGACTCAAGATTTTGACTCAAAAGTCAAATGTTTTAATTAAATAGATAAAAATTTCCTGCGTTTGGTTTTCATTTCATTTATGCCAGGTTAATATCAATGCAGCTTTACCAATGCAGATAAAAAAATTGAATAAAGAAATCCTTTCAGGGGACTAGAGCTGCCCAAGAATGAAACCAAGAAAGAAATAGTTTACCTAATCTGTTAGAAAAAAAGAGACTGGAAAGCATACTCTGTCTCTGATAGCCAAAGAGAATATAAACAATCATTCTAAACTCTTGAAGGCATTCAAGGGGAAGTTAGTCTCAGGCCACAGGTATTTTTTCCTAACGTTACTAGTAATAACTGGAGAAGTCCATCCAGTCAGTTCTGTTTCCAAATAGAAGATGAAAAGTTATTAAATGCAGAGGCAGAACTGGGCATTTTTGCATCCTAAGTTGCTGTAGTTGGGGCAGTGGCAGCAGCTGCAGCAGTGGCTGGGAGCAACAGTGGTGGTAGCTAGGTTGCCAGCAGTGTCTAAAATGGTGTCCAGGGCTCACGCCCTGTTTGCCTATCCCTTGTTAGGTTACTGAATAAATAATCAAAAGAAAGACGCTTGCATCCATATCAGAAAGACCGTTCTATAGGAGAATATATATATATATATGTTATTAATTTATATATCCTAAGTCAGAGAATAGAGGACTATGACATTTGTGTGTATGTATGTGTGTTGTGGGGTGGGGGTTGTTCTTTAAGATAGCTTCAATTACAACCAAGGGACAAGATCCTGGTCTAATTTTTGTCACTTTAAATGCAGAGAAAGCCTAGAGTTTTCACCTGTTGATTTTCAAAGTATCTACCTGCAAACAGAATAATTTAGATGCTGTGGGAAAAAGTTAGGACAGAATTTAAATAATTACTTATTATGAGTCTAGTCCTGCAGCTGTTCCACTAAATATCACTTATGTCTGAAACAAGTCCCTTTGGAATCAAGATGCTGGACTCTGCGTTGGCCGTATGTAGGCAGTGAATGGAGGGAACAGGTGGTGGAGCCCTTAGATTCTGGGAACTGCTTCTTCGCAGGAGTGAGATAACAGAATCATCACTTTTTGGTACCTCTAGTGCCCTCATTACCCCAAATGTAAACATCTTATCATATTTAATTTATTAGTTCTCCCCAGTGAGGGACAGTAGTGCTAATATGCCCATTTTAGAAACCAGATGTAAGGAATAGAGCAGTGACGATGCATAGGGGGTGCATGGGGGTGCACATGCACGCCCTGAAAGCACTGGTGCACCCCTGACCAGCCGCGCTACCTGCTTGGGTGATGGGCAGGAGGGGCAGGCAGGAGCACTGGTGCCCCCCTGCAAGCACCAGCTGGGGAGTGGAAGCACCAGATGCAGGCCGCAGGCACTTCCAGTTCTGCGGCCACTCCTGGGAGCAGCATGGCTGCTCACCGGATGGTAAGTTTTGCTGAGGGGGAAACCCACACTCCGGTCAGCGAGATTGGCCATGGGGGATGCCCCCCAGTTGGTGAGATTGGCCATGGGGGATGCCCCCCAGTCGGTGAGATAGGCCATGGGGGATCCCTGCCCCAGTTGGTGAGATTGGCCATGGGGGATGCCCCCCAGTTGGTGAGATTGGCCATGGGGGATGCCCCCCAGTTGGTGAGATTGGCCATGGGGGATGCCCCCCAGTCGGTGAGATAGGCCATGGGGGATCCCTCCCCCAGTTGGTGAGATTGGCCATGGGGGATCCCCCCCAGTCGGTGAGATAGGCCATGGGGGATCCCTCCCCCAGTTGGTGAGATTGGCTGTGGGGAACCCTCCCTGCCTGGTCGCTGCCTGGTCGCTGGGGGGCACATGCTCCCCCTGACTAAGGTGGCACCAGTTGCCCATGGCACAGAGAAATTAGGTTCCACACCTTCAGAGACATTTAGGTGTCTAACACCCACCGATTTCAATGAGAGTGAATAACTTTGATGACCTGGCATTAAGTGACTTGCTCAGGAAAACTTATGTTGGAGGATGGAACTGGACCTTCATTTTCTGTATCCAAAAACAACTTAATCATTGGCCCATCATCCCTAACTAGAAGCCATAGTACTTTATCTTGCAGGACTGAAAAGAAGGGGAAGGTGAGGGAAAGAATTATTTCTCCTCTCTAATTTTGGGAGGTGCGGAGATTCCCTGGTCATTAGTATTCTGTAAGAGTCTGGGTCAACGACAATCTCTGCCTTTTGACGGCAGCTCCATATTTGCAGTATTTTACATCAAGGACACCATTTCTCTCTTTTGTTTGAACAATAAAATGCCTCATGAGGTGTTATTGATGAAAAACTAATCAACAAACAAACATGACTCAAAATACATAAGAATCATAAAATATTGCAAAATAAAGCAACACCCCTCCACCAACCCATAATGCTTTCAGACCTCCAATGCACTGAGGTATTTTAGAACCATTTAAGATATGCAGGAATCATAAAAGTTGGACAGGTTTAGATATATTTTTTTCCTCTCTCTCTCCTCTCCCTACCACCAACAATTCACTCAGTTATAGAATACATTACACAGCAGGAGACATGGCAGGAGATGCGGCTGTAGCACAATAGAGAAGATTATAATGAGTATCAGATGAAAGGAAAGGGAGTGAGGAACTCCAGCAGCAGGAAAGGTATCAAATTTGTGGGAGAGGATGCAACTCCGACAAGATGCCAATGACAGTGGGTGGAAGTGAAACAATGTCAGTCACCGGGAATTAATTACCATCCTATAAAAACAAATCAGCACAGCAACATACTGCACATTTCTACCAAGTTGTGAGGTTTGGCTGTCACACAGGAGACT